CTTGAGTTCTGGTAAAATACTGTCTTTCCCACTCATGATTGAGGTTCCACATGTCTCATCTGCTTCCTCTTCCTCCCCGCAGCCATCCCAGACTCCCAAGTGAGGCCTGAGCTTCTGGGAGGAACACTTGACAACCAGGACATCAGAAATCTTATCCCGGAACCAGTGGCAACGCTGCCTCCAAGGATCCGCGAGCAGCCGTTCGACTATGATGGAGAGGTCTACGTTGGCCCTAAGCAGGAACAGGTGAATGTATTTCCTTTGGCAGAAGAAGAGGAGCAGGAGGAAGACGAGGAGGTTGAAGACAACCGTCTTAATCAAAGAGGAGACGTTTTCGGTAAGTGTCCTTCCGTTTTGCTGTCTTACAGTCATTTTGGGTGGTTCATAATGTATTAACCATACATACAGTAAACCAACTCAGTTTCTACAGAGACTTTGTTCTTGTGTCTACACAGCATTTGAAAACTATTAACGATTATTCAGTATGTGGCTGAATGAAGTATAAAATAAGAAGTCAGTCCAAACACCTTGACCAGAGAAGAAAGGAGCTCCTCAGACACATCTTTGGAAGGTTCGATGTTACTAAAAATTGAGAAATGTGTTGAATTATTTGACTATTTCCAGAGAAGAACCAGACACACTGAATCTGATTCAAAGATATCATAATATCCAAGCTTTGGCTAAAACAAATACAAAATATAACAATCACAATAAAAACCCAGAGGCTAAATGTAAGAAATGATGTGAATATATCTAATTGAATAGATCATTTATGAGACTTAAATAAATCACATTCTCCGGCACTTTCATTAAATAATAAGAAAAGAGTGGACAGTGTAGTTCTGCAGTGGTATGCACCTCAAAGAAAAACCCCACACATGAGGTTACCTTTCAACACTTCTCTTGATCTTTATGGAAACACCCGAGACTGTGTAAGAACTCAGATAGCAAGAGGAGACAGGCCCCAAGACATCCATCACCTCCAGGGAGGAATTTTACTCTGTCAGCATGTGAGAGCCCAGGGATACAACTCGTCCTGCTTCCCATCTCCTGGGAGGACGGTGAAGAAGGGGGGAGGTTATTTAGCCTCCAAGCCTTTTATTATGTTTTTCCCAAAACAGCTGTTGTGCAAACAGACTTGACTCCTAGTTGGAAAGTCTGTCATCAGCACTCTAGACCTCTCTAGCACCAGCCCACTCTGGCTGCACAGGTTCAATCACCCCAGCTGTCACTTGTCTGAGGCCGCTAGCCATGGGGGTGGTTTTCTGTGAGAGCTTTAAAACACTTGAGAGGCTGTATCCTAAAGTTGTAGCTTCATCTCAAGACATGAGTGACAGCAGGGCAGGTCTACACCTGTTGGTAAAAAAAAAACCTTTCATTGCTGCATCATTTTGGAATGCTTTTTCTAAGATAATATGTTTTAAGAGGAATGTATGAACCAAAAGTGATTTGTCATTTGTATGAGGCAAAGTTTTTGCATGAGATTTCTGCTTTTACTTTTGAGTTGATTATCACTTTGAGCTGAAACATTATACATAAGTTGAGAATTCATTATGTACACCTTGCTAAAAATAACACAGTCTTATTAAGTTTCCGTTGGAACACTATAGGTTTAATACGAGAAGGATTTAATGCATGACTGTTTATTAGACAGTTTAAGCCAGGTGTGCTTAATAAACTGGCTGAAAATATATGAATTCACATTGATTGTTTTCCCCTTTAATTTCTCAATACAGTTTCAGAGGACTTTGAATCCGTGTTTGGACCAGCGACAGAAGTCAAAGAAATGTTAATAGCACCAGTTCAGGAAGGTAATTAAATACCTCTTAAGATGCCATTATTATATAAGGACAGTTTATGTGACTAATTTGCTTTTGTTCTCCTAATGTTTCCACCTCTAGAGTTCATTATGGATTGCAACTTTGATCAGGGAGCATGTGAGTGGATCCAAGACAAGACTGATGACATGGACTGGAGCGTATCCTACCATAATGGTAACAGTATGATTAGTATGTGTTTTTTTTTTATGTCGGATTAATGTATACTTTAAGTGCATTTAGAAAGAATATGTGCTACGAACTCTTTCAGATGCTGAGTACTACATGGCCATGAGTGGGCTCCTAGGAGAGCCGGAGGATATAGCCAAGCTGAAGCTGCTCCTCAGTGACCGGGCCCAGCAGGGCAGCTTCTGCCTCACCTTCGACTTCCGTGTGGTGGGCCAGAATGTGGGAAGTCTCAAGGTGCTGCTGGATAACAACGCTTACCCTGTATGGGAGCAGAGCCGAAGCAGAGACCAGGCATGGCAGACGGAGATCCTCACTGTAACCTGGAAAGAGGAGGCACCAACATCGGTGAGTGATTTATAATTTTACAATATAATTATCAATAGATGATTGTCAAAGCTTTGCTGTAACTGCTAACAACAATAATACCAGTCAAAGGAGGTTCAACAGCACATTAGTTATCATAATGCTAAATGCTATGAATGTCTTTCAGATTTTCTTTGAAGCTCAGCATGGGAAGGAGGTTGGAGGAGAGATTGGGCTGGACAATGTTGTGCTGACCTCAGGGCCCTGTCAAGAGGATGTCAGCCCATTTGTCTAGGAGTCTCCACCCCAGATTTACAATGTTAAAATCTGCCTTAACTGACACACATAGGATTCCTGTTTCCTGCCTGTAATATGATCTGGAGTTTCTCATGTTTTTTGCTGTAGCCACAAGACATCCACATAAAGATACAGAACTTAGTCTCTAGGGAAGAATATGTATTATCAGTGCATGCATGTTCACAATAACAGCATGCTGCTAGATGAACACATCTGGCTCCATTCTCTATTGTGATTGTTATACATAACTCCGATCTCAGGAATAGATGGACATGTCTATTAAGTTAGATGTCACAGTATTGTGCTTAGTCTTTTTTGTGTATGTGATCGCTGAAGTTAACATTAAATAATCTATGACATGTAATGTGAACTCTTAAGTGAGGTATATCTTAGATAAATACATTTCTTGAAGGCTAGTTAGTTTAAATGATCAAATGTATCAATGAAAGACTGCTGTACATTTTGCTTTCAAATGATAGTGTACTATTACATTAAATCTGTTTTTTTTTTCTAAACCTGCCTTCCATTCCTTCCCCGCTCAGACACATTTATGATGGTTCACGTACGTCTAATTATGATCATGTCAGTTACAGCAGGTTCCTGCAAACAGAAATATATCACCTGGAGTTTTTCTGGGAATGAAAGTAAACGTATCATAAGCCAGTGTTACAGTCTGGACAACATCCACAGTAATATGACAAAGAATGTGGGTAATTTATGAAATGCCACCACAAATGGACTTGACATGTATGGATGCCAGCCAAGCTTATATTTTATTACAGAAAATTGATGTGGTAGTCAACTGACACCAAGAAAGAAAAGCATGCTTATGTGAACACAATATTGGAAAGGGAAAAACACAATTGTTTGCTCTGACAACCAAAAATTACACAGCTAGAGATGATGCTTTAAGTAATAGTGTAAGTAAAGTGTTTATACTCATTTATTTCATCTTCCATAATGATATCCACAGAAATAGCACAACTTAACTTAAATGTATATACATAAAGAAAACAAATAATGTAGCCTACATAGTCAATGTAGACATACTGTAGGCCTATGTATCAAATACATTTTCGAACGAATATACAACAAGTAGGCAAGCAAGAAAGGTACAGGACAGTTAACTACTTGGTACTGTAGCCTATGTTAGGAAACACTAACTTTCTCTAGTTGCATATACTTTTGGTTGTGTTTGCATGAAGTAATCATGCTTTAGAAAACGCCTCTGGTGTGGATAATGATGTCCATGACTTTGGTATATGTTTACATTGTGTTAGCTATGTATTGTAAAAGGTATTTGGACATTAAGACAACAACAACATGTACGTTAGCTTGCCATGTGGTAACCATTGATGTATAAAGGTGGTAAAGTTAGCAAACTGTCAGCATAATTACTTTTTTTTAGGTGTGGCGTGGATGTTCTCCAGTGTTCAGCTGGGAGCTAACTACGCTAAATGTCAGCTAAATGTCGCGCTCTCTGGTGGTAAAGCATGAATCATACAAAGATGGTACAATATTGTACCTGCTGTGCTGTTAGGAACCAATTGTCCACTTGTTTGGACAAACGACACGAAAGATGCTCTATCAAATGTCCTTATTCTCTAAGCTAATTGGATTCATTCAATTGAATAGGAACGGATGTGTTGTAAGGACCTGGAGGTTACCTCAGTGCTGTTGGTTGTTTCTGTCGACAACAAAGATCACATGATCCGAGGCTGCCCAGTATCGTTTAGCTGTTAGCCGCTTTAGCACAAGCCCGCTGTGGGTTCACAGAAACGCCTGCCGACGACGCGTTACCGCGAGCCACGCCAATGCGAGAGCATGTCAGAAGGAAGGCCATTAATGCTCATTCTGTTATTTCCTTGCATTTGTTTTTCGTTGACTCAGCCAGCAGCTGTCTGACACGAACTTGACGGCGTATGTTATATCAATTTGGCCGCGAACTAACCTAAGCTGGCGAATGCGCCGTCTATTTCATTTGCCTAACTCATACTGTGTCCCCCTGTTTTGTGCCTTTCTATGTTAGCTTAGCTTAGCCTATAGCGTAGCTAGCTGATAAACACAGTTATTTGCGTAGCTCTATCGGCGTGTCCTAGCATGTTTACAGCTATTAGGCTCCATTTGAGTATGTTTATGTCAGAGGCACATATTGTAGTGTTGAAGAGCTTACAAACTGTATGATCGTTTGCCTAGCAGTAATGCTTATTGCAATGGCTTCCAGCTCTAACTGCTGTCATGGCCATCTGTTACCAGCAACTGCCTGTGTACAAGCTGGTTGAACGCCTACATACATGCCGCTCACATCAACATTAATCAAGAGCTGTGACCAAGACAAGGTCTAAAACACAATGATCCTGTCCTGTGTGAGACCAGAAGTTCATTATCAGGTGCAGATCAAGAAGGTATTANAAGAGCTCCATCATGAACCGCTACGTTACCAACAAGTTTGATGCACACCTTTTCCACACCATTGGCGTGGAGTTCCTCAACAAGGAACTAGAGGTAGATGGCCACCAGGTTACTCTACAGATCTGGGACACTGCTGGCCAGGAGCGCTTCCGCAGCCTGAGGACTCCTTTCTACCGTGGCTCTGACTGCTGCCTGCTCACCTTCAGTGTAGATGACAGCCAGAGTTTTCTCAACTTAAGCAACTGGAAGAAGGAGTTCATCTACTATGCAGATGTTAAGGAGCCAGAGAAGTTCCCATTCGTTGTCTTGGGCAACAAAGTGGACGTGACAGAAAGGCAGGTGTCTACTGAGGAGGCTCAACAATGGTGCCAGGAGAATGGAAACTTCCCCTATTATGAGACCAGTGCCAAGGACGCCACCAATGTAGCGGTCGCCTTTGACGAGGCGGTGCGCAGAGTGTTGGCATTGGAAGAAAGAACGGACCACCTCATCCCCACAGACACAGTCAAGCTTCACAGAAAGCCTCGCTCTGCTACATCCTGCTGTTCATAACATCCAGGAGTTATCACTAACATTTGCTGTTATGCCTTTTATGTGAATAGGCTGTAGGTTTACAATGCTGTTGTAACATCTTATTTAAACAAATTATGCTACTGGCTTTATGATTTGTTGTACTGTTGAAGATTTGGTAATGCTATTTGGGACTTTTGCTTGAAGAGACAGAGAAGAAACACTAAACTCATCCCAGTCTGATTACAAATAAACACAACATCTCCGATCATTCATTCAGCACCTATCAAAGACTTTGGAGGCAGAAAAATACACTTTATTTTTTGTCGGAAACTCTAAAGCTGTCGTGAAGGAACGGAGGCAATGTCTTTGATTTTTCACTTTCTTCTCAAATGTTCTATTCTGTCACATTGTAAAATGATGCAACCCTTAAATCTGTACTACCTTGGGATTACCATCATTATAGGTTTCCATAACTTCACTCTTAGATGTTAGACAACAGAGTTATGCCCTATATATTTATATTTAGAACATAATTTATACAGCCTAATGACCTTATTTCTGAGAATTATGAAGTAGCTGTGGGAATATGTGTAACTAACAAATTGAGGCTTGTTGTGATTGTTGCGCCTTTAGGTCTTTTTTGTAGGCACATTCTGCTTAGTGAATAGTGATGATAGGCTGTGTGCTGCAAGCACTTAACAAAAGATCAATATTAAAGCAACATTAACATGCATGGCATCAGGTGTATTTCATTTCCTGGAAACTTCTATTCTGCAACATTTTACCTTTTAAGAATTACCTTGAGGAAAGTGTAATGAAAATGATTTAATTAACAGTTTTCCTCATTGTTGGTTCCATTGTTTTCATTTTGTTTTTATCTTTAAAGCACTCTTAACATTTTTATACTTACAGTTCAGTGTTTTTCTGCACAGATTAATAGTGACTACTGGTATGCTAAGTGACCAATAAACTCCCTGAGAACTGAGCATGGTTTGTTTCCTTAAAACTGTGTTAGTCTGTTTATTATCCCAATGTTTGAATTGTGCTTTATAACCACTACAATGATTTAATGCATAAACTGGTAGATAACACAAGTACCTAACTATGTCACGGCTCAACATTGTGTTTATACAGGTTTTTTCATTTGTTGAGCAGTCTTTAATTAGTAAAAGATGATATGCCTTTAAGTATACAGTTAATAATCAACACACGGCAGCCAAACTCACAGCTTGTCCCATGCAAGAGAAGAAAAAAGGATCAACAAATATTACCATAGATTTTAGACAACTTTTTATAGAAAATATGTGTTTAATACATTGTACAATTGTTAAACAGGAAAAGAAAGACAGACATCAAACGTGTGGTAGCTATATATACACAACCAATAACCAAGATGCATTATGATCCTCGTACATGTGAAGTGATTAACTCAAGAGATGTTTCTTTCCAAGAAACTGTACTTTCCTCTCAAAGGCTGTTGAGCGGATTGGTGCATTGATCTCGTAGAATGGATTCATTGCAAACTGGGAGACAAAACAAATAAATAAAAACACTGAAGTAAAAAAAATAGACCAAATGTAACCTCGAGCCAAGTTATTCTCATATGGACAACTTACCTTAATGTATAAATCATATACATCATTAAAAAAGTTTTTGATTCCATCTTCTTGTCGTGCGTCATGCAGCATGATGAATCTTATATGTACGGCAAACAATTAAAGAAAATAAAGCCATTGTAATGAAAGCCTTGAATTTGACTAAAGAATGACAACAATACGGGGACTTCTGAAAATGTGATCACATTATACTGCAAATTAACACGTTAATAATTGTTCCTATCAACCCTATAAAATGGCAGTAAACGATAAATGCCCTTTAGAGTCCAATGTTTGCATTATGAGTATCACCAATAAAAAAAAGGATATGTCCTGCAGTGACGAAGGCAGAAACAAACCACTCGTTGAACTTGTCCACAGTTTTCAAGTACATATTGTTGGAGAGCCACATGTTTTCATCCACTAAATCCAGGGCAGCGTGTGCGATGAACTGGTTCAGGTGACGATGGTCATCCTGTGGTCAATGACACAAAAATGAAACAAGATGATAAAGGAACATATATTTTTAACATATCACACATTAACATATATCCTGACAGTTATGCTGAGGTCTATGGCTTATATGCTAATAAATAAAACAATTATTATTTCGTGACCACTGTTTTGTAATATGTACAGGAATAAATGTTGGTGTTATTATTAATCCATGACGTTACCTTTGATTCAACTTTCCCCGATGGCAAGAACTCCATCTCAAAGACAGGGTTGTCCTGGTGGCCAACCATGACGAAATAAAAGCTTCCAGACATCGTTTTCCCTTCTTGTTAGCAAAGTCAAACTGTCCTGAAAAAAATCTAACCAAACACAACATGTAAAATAAATGTAATATTTCCAAATATCAGTGTCAACATCACCTGATCGACGGACAGCCCTTTAACTAGCAAGCTAACGTTAGCTGCAGTGCTAAAAAAGACGGTTGGCGTCGTTTAAGACGTTCAGTAATGCTTGCATAACTAATATAAACCTATTACATTTAAGATAGTATAATAACTAACATAAGCACAAAAGGAAAGGCGTATAAATGTCATACAACCGATTTGTGTGTACCTGTCAATTTTGCTTCCTGGAGAGAAACAAGTGAAGTCGCACACAAATGACAACATGGTAAAGCAGAAACATTAACAACTATCTCTGGTAAAACGGTTCAGCGACAAATATTTTAACGTAGCTTCCTATTAATAATGGTTGCATTAAATGTATAATACATTTTCGAATAATAATAAAATAAATATAAAATAAAATTGCAGCTTTTCTTCTTTACGTCATAACTGTGTGCCCGGAACCAACGTATCCGTTGACGGATTTAAATTAGTTGTACACGCCTCCTCGAAAGGACGCCGAGATGCTTTTTGGTTGTTAGGCTGGTAAGTAGAAACATAATTGTATCTTTAGAGACGCTTATTTTATTTGGGGGTTTAGGAGACATATTTTTGAACAGTCTACCATCGGGTAGGCATACAAAAGCTGTTGAAAACTGTTATTTTTTGTTGTTTAGCTCACCATGTCAGCTTTACCGTGCTGTTGTTTCTCTTCTGTCAGGACCTTCAAAACAACGACAGTGCAGTTATGTCTTCGGCCAAAGAAGACACGTTATCCCCAGACGAGCTGAGGAAAAGACTCTATCAAACGTTTAAAAGTAAAGGACTCCTTGATACACTGAAAGTAAGTCGTGCTATAAATGTTATTGTTTGCTCTGCAGCGGTTAGTGACTGTACTCTGCTAACTGACGCGTTAGAAATAGTAAATGTTCTTCTCTCTTTTTCTTTTTCATTTGTCTGATCTGATTCAGACACAGCTGCGGAATCAGCTCATCCAGGAGTTAAAACACCCACATTTGACTGGAGGAGAACCAGTCCCACGAACAATTCCTGGGAGATCTGAACCCCTTTTGGTGTCAGCATGCAACAGCATAGTGTATGATCACCTCTGCTCCTCAGGATATGAGTACACCCTCTCTGTATTCTGCCCTGAAAGCGGCCTATATAAAGACAAGGTTAGCAATGAGTTTGTTGTCTAATTTATTGTACTGCTTGTAAAAGACATCTTTGCATATGAATATTCTATTTTGGCAGGTTTTAACAACCGGAGACCTTCTTCAGCTTCTTAAAATCAGTCCTGAATCAGCACTTTACAGATCTCTGGTAATTCATAATTTCATAGGAATATTTTCTTTAAATTATAACTCATTCCCATTAGTAATAATGGTGTTAATGTTTTTTTTGACAGTCTTCAAACAAAGAAAACAAGGACAAAGGTATGTACATGAAGCATAATTTGTTATAAAACTGCTCCTGCCCCTAAGTCATTAATATATCTTATTTTTGTCAAGCAGGGTTCCTGATCAGCCTTCTAGCACAGCTTACACACCATTATACACACAGCACTGGTCACGATGCTGACACTCAGACCACCAGCAAAGCAAGTTATGGAGACTCTCTGGGTATGATGAGATAAAATGTCACATTGTACTCAACACACCTGCCTTTGAATGCAGAGTTTTTAATGATTATTTTTCTTCCATACACAGTTGAGAAGATGAAAATGATTGATAAGGAGTACGAGAGCTTAAATTACAGTGGGGAGAAATGGTTTACACTGGAATCAAAACTGTCTACCCATAGAAAAGAAATTGAAGCACAGCTGCAAGCAGAAATGAAGACAAAAGTATGTATATTCGTTACAAATATCAGAAGAATAAATGCTATAAAGTAGGGCTGCTCGATTATGGCAAAAATCATAATCTCGATTATTTGGGTCCATCCATCCATCTTCTCCCGCTTATCCGTGGTCGGGTCGCGGAGGTAGCAGTTCCAGCAGAGAGCCCCAAACTTTCTTTTCCCTGGCCACATCAACCAGCTCTGACTGGGGGATCCCAAGGCGCTCCCAGGCCAGCGAAGAGATATAATCCCTCCACCTGGTCCTAGGTCTACCCCTTGGTCTCTTCCCAGCCGGACGTGCCTGGAACACCTCCCTAGGGAGGCGCCCAGGTGGCNATCTCTAGCTGAGATGACAAAAATGAGAACAAAAAGAAAGCGCTCGCGTAGTGAGGATCAAAACTTTACGAGAGCACAAAAATAGCATAGACCTGACCATAGCAAGAGACAAGCACAAAGATCTGAACATGGCAATTGACAAAAACAAACTGACAAGGAACACTGGGAGACAAGGGAATTTAAACACCTGACAATAAGACACAGGTGGGAACAATCCCACGCTGATAACCACAGGAGACACAGAAGGGTTGACAGGTGAAAACAATCCCACCCAGGGGCGGGGCTGGTGCTGATGAGTCTGGAATGACAGGTGAACGGTGAGTGACAAAAAAAAACAGGAAGTGGAAGACAATAAAACCAAAAAACTAGGGCCGGGACTCGATTAAAAAAATTAATCTAATTAATTACAGGCTTTGTAATTAATTAATCGCAATTAATCGCATTTTTAATCGCATATAAATATTTGACCTAAGAACAGTGAGAAGCAATTTTTTTCACATGGATTTTAGTATACCATTGAATAATGACTGAATACATAAGCTTAAGCAACAAAACATTGTTTATTTTTATCAAGGNCAAGTTGTCCCTTAAGTTTATTTTTTTATTTAAATTGATAATTCTATCCAACATGGATATAGCTTCTTTCTTTCACAGCAGCATTGGATCGTTCAGTTGTGCAGCATTGGATCAAAACAAAAATAAAGCTTATCAGTACTCGTTAGCTTACTGCTACTTTTAGACACTGCGCCCTGCCCACTCTGTTGCCAGATTTGAGAGAAATAAGCAACCAGGTCTATGAAAACAAGCCCCAAAGAAGCAACACATACATGATGTTCTGTAATTTGAAACCAAAACTAAGGCCTCAGGATGACTTTAAGACTTGAACATGGTCATTTTTGTTTTGTAACATTAAATAATAAAAAAAAAAAGTATTTATAAAAAATAAAATAAAAATCCCGATCACCGATTTTTTCCTCCCGATTCCGATCTTTTGAAAATCACGTGATCGGCTCCGATCCCCGATCACGTGATCGGATCGGGACATCTCTACATACATCCCATCCCTTTGAAAGTGATACCAACAATAGCAATGGCCCCGACCATAGTAGCTGGGGTTTATACTCCGCCATCCACTTGAGTTAGAACCATTACAAAATATATATATTTATAGTTATCTTTATACTTATTATCATTGGTGTGGACGGCCCAAGACGTGGCAGACAGGCACGCCCAGTCATGTGATACCTTGTTGAGTTTGGCGAAGCTGCATCTTAATTTCCTCGATGTGGTTAGTCATCCAATGGGATCGCTCCTCACTCTGAATCAACTGAGCCTTAAGCTGAGCGCATCTCTCCACCTGCAGAGAACAACAGAACACAGGATATCAAACGAGAGCTTTTCACAAAGTATAAAGTCTCTGCAAAGCAATTGAATGAGTAGAAGTCGACTGAAACACCGATTACACAACACATTCCCCAAGGGGAGAAGAAAATGCATGATCAAAAGAAAAGAAAAAGCTGACCACATAGTTTCCCACACTCTGCGAGAGGCTGTGATGGGACTGACCTCACTCTGGAGCTGTGCCTGCAGCTCCTGTTTCTGGTTGTCAAACTCTTCCTCATCCAGTCTGTGCGTGCTCTGCAGCCTCCGTAGGTCCGTCTGCAAAGTCAGCTGCTCTCTGGATGGCTTGCCCAAATCTGTGAGAAAAGTCAGAGCATCATTTGAAAATGCATCTTGTTTGCTAGTCCAGTGTCTACTGATTAAAGGAGTCACGTCACGTTTTATCTGTGCAGCATGAGAGTATAGCACATGGGGCTTCACACCATATCTGCCTTTTGTAAGTGATGAGGAGAAAGGCCTACTTCTCTACCATCAAAGAGGAGGAAGACTGTATCCTCATTATTGATCCTCGGCCGTGGGTAAAGGGAGCCCTGTGTCACATCTCTCCTTCACTCCACTTCTCATCCCTTTTTCCTTTAGTGGTTCTTTCTAAGAGAGTCGTCTACAGAGCTGCACTCACAGCACAGAGGCCCCACATTGGCAGGCAAGACACATTCAGAAAGTCTCAGCTGAGCCAGAAGCAGCGGGACAGACTAACTTGAATGCTTCACAGTACGCTGCATCTCCCACAGCTCACAATAAGCCCACACTGTGAATGCTACATAAGGAAGTGGATTCATCTCTCTTTTTTCAAATTCAGAGATACTGATTTTTACATCAGCGATAACTCAAACATTAAAGTAGCCAGTCACAAAGGACTCAGTTGTACATTAATGCAGACAGAAAGCCTTGTTCTAATCCAAGCTGTTCCTCACCTGCACGGAGCAGCCGGTTCTCCTCCTGGGTCTCCTCCAGCTGTTTCTTCAGCAGCCTCAGCTCGCCCTGCAGCTCTGCGTTCTCTCTCTTCACGCTGGGGTAGTCACTCATGGTCTCCAGTCTCTCCCTTGAAATCTCCTTCTGTTGAGTCAACAGAGAAATCTGCTGCTGTGCTGTGTCTAACTCATCCTGAAACACAACAGAAGAGACAGTCAAAAATACTGTAGACTCAATAATATATTGAATTATTATCACATCACACTGAATGATTGAATTGTGTTGAATTATTTAGCGAAGTGTCTATTGCCAATTGTAGACCAATGGAGTTGTGCTGCTTACCTGCAGCCGTCTCAGCTCAGAACATGCTCTGCTGTGCTCCTCTAATTTTCCATTCATTTCAGCAGACTCCTTTTGGATGCGAACCGTTTCCACTAAGAAATAAAAGTCATGTAAACACAAAAGTCAAATAAAAACATGGGCAAAAGAAAGCTGGTGAGTGACATTGCATTGATTGAAATACTGACCTTTGTTTCTGTTCTCATTCTTGGTTAAATGTTCTGTTCTCTTGATGAATTCATCTTTGAGTTCAAGCTGGTACCTAACGTTATAAATGCATAAGAACAACAATCAAAAATAGATTTTAAACTCAACAACATGAACAAAAAACCGGCTTTGAAAACATAGTGGACTTTTCCTATTACAAGGTAGAAGGATAATGGACCAAAGCAGCAGCTATTTAGGAAATAATCCGGTCCTGTTATTGTACGTTACTCCACTGTGATGGCCAACCAAAGGCAGTCTGTAAATACAGTCATCATCGTTTGAGGTAATAACAAATAGTAAGCAAATAAACAAAAACATTCAAAAAGAAAAAGCATAATCTGTAAAAACAGTGACATCCTCTGGTCACACAATAACAATATGCCTAACAAGGATACATACCCTTATTTTGAGAGATAAAGAGAATAGAGTTAAGAGAACTTTATTAAAAACGAGACTGCATAGTGAAACCAAAATGATGTTTGTTAAACTGCTTCTGACAACGTGAGCCAAAACCAAAAACCTGGAAAGTTCATTTTTCAATCTGTGGTCGTATGTGTCCTCCATGGTCTTCACAGCCAGTTCTCTCCTCCTCAGCAGATCTTCAGTGGTCTTGACTTTCTCCTCGTGCATTTGACAAGTCCTATCACCGTACAAACAAAGTCAATAAACCAGTGGTCCCAGTGAAAGAGCATAGCATCCATTTATCACCACGAATGGTAAAAAAAGAAAAGAAAGCCCTTACTTTTCAAAAGCCTCCATTCTCATCCTCAGCTCATTCTCTCTGTTTCGCACCGTATCGATTTCTTTCAGGACCGACTGTCTCTGCATGTACATATTTTTTTCTTCAAACTAAAGAAAAGAGAAACACAAATAACAACATGCGTTACACCATCTTAGATTGAAGCAGTTAGGAATAATGCAAATGGTTATTGGAAAGTTGAGAGCCTGTCAGTTTTAAGAAATAATGCTTTGCTTGGGTTTATCTTTCCAGATAAAGTAACAGAGCACATCATCATAATTAGCAGTAATCTACCTCTTGTTGCTTTTGTAATCGATCAATGGCATTTTTCTCTCGTTCCATCAACGCCTTTGCCTTCATCTCATAAGTCCTCTCCAGATCTTGCTTCAGCTTATCGAATTCTTTATGAAACTTTGCTTTTTCTTCCATCCTCACCGTGGCAATTTCAACATCTTTAAAATGTTGCATCTTAAGAAATAAAAGACACAATGTTGAGACCAGAAGAAAAACTGCACATCGAATATTAGACAGTCATAAAACATGATGCATTTATACAATAAAGTTACACTGTATAGTAGGGCTGCTCAATTAATCCTATTTTAATCGCAATTACGATTATGGCTTGCAACGATTACGAAAACAACGTAATCGAAATAAAACGATAATTTTTTTATTATTACTTTTTTTTTTTATAATTTTTTTTTTTTTTGGTTTTTCAGTTGAATTATACTTAAAGTTCAGGGTAATCAACTGTTAAAAACATACTGTTCACATCTTTTTCTCCAATAAATGGAGGTTTTCAAAGTCAATGAATAATCACATTTAATAATTGCAATTACAATTATTGACCCAAATAATTACCGCACCGTTGTGACGAAAAGGGAGCTGAGCCAGAAGGCAAAGCTCTCTGTCTACCGCGCCATTTTCGTTCCTANTAGCTTACTGCTACTATTAGTCATAGACCTTCCAGAAAAACGCGGGCCAAAGGATTTTAGCCCGCATAATCAATGATTTTAGCCCGCATAATTAAGGATTTTGGCCCGCGTTTTTCTGGAAGGTCTATGACTAATAGTAGCAGTAAGCTAACGAGTACTGATAAGCTTTATTTTTGTTTTGATCCAATGCTGCACAACTGAACTGATCCAATGCTGCTGTGAAAGAAAGAAGCTATATCCATGTTGGATAGAATTATCAATTTTAAATAAAAAAATAACCTTAAGGGACAACTTGAATGCTTTTTTTCTTTTTTTTCTCTTAATGCATTGCATAAAGATCGGATTGGGAAAAATCGGTATCGGCAAATTGTCAAAATCAAATGATCGGAATCGGATCGGGAGCAAAAGAAGGTGATCCGGACATCCCTAGATGTATGATAGAAACATTTTCAGCGAATTCAAATCTCTCCTCCCCTCAGGTTGTGCAGCACATCAAAGGCTACTTTTTAACAGTTTTAACTTTATTAATATTTGTCATTCTTGGTGTGGATGGTCCTTTAATATCATTAGTCACTGTGAACCATGTAGGTTTGTGTATGCAGTTATGAATGTTAAAATCAGTATTACATGACTTGTTTTGATCAATTTTACTTTTACTTTTTCGTAAACTGGCTTCCTTTCTTTCATGTCATTCTGTTCACATTAACATAATATAAAAGGGAAAATATTTGTGAAATGGTAAAGAACTCAAACATTCTCCCTACTTTCAATTACTTAAAAAGTAAAGTAAGCCAAGTCAACAGTAGTCGCCAATAGATGTAATTGCATGTATAGAGTTCTCCAAGTTAGTTTTTTGGTGGTTGGTCTTCTGTATTAGT